TAAAAAAATTCAGGTAGGAACCATTTGCCACTACTAGAGATAAGATAAAGCAAGCTTGGAGAAGAAAATAGTTGAAAAGTGAATGCAGTGTGTAAGTAATCACAGTTCATTAGCTCTAGCGTGTTTTCCGGCTTTGGATAAGGATTTACGCTGCAGCCATGCTTTGGAAGAGCTTACATCTGTACACTGTAGTTTTAGGGAAGCCAACAAAATAGTAAATATGCGAGCTGACAAATACATTAATCAAAGTGCCTGCTGCTGAGTCGCGTGGCCTGGGGCGGGGGGGGAGAGGAGAAAGAAAAGTATGCATTTTAAACAATTTCTGTAGCTGAAAGGAGACTTTACATATGTGGCTGACACACTGATCAAATGATAAAGTAGAGTCAAATTGAACCTCAACCTTTTGTGCAGCCTGTGAAAGTGAAGGCACGCTGCAGTTTTTCAAGGCAGATGGAGTGTGAGCAACTAATAAATCAGGTTTTGAAACATTAAAGAGCAACTTATTTAAATGCATATGGTGTTGGATCTCAGACAAGACAGTATAGGAGAGCGTAAAAGGATTGGGCATGGGAACATCAGCAGAACAATATGTCTGTGCACCAGCTATGTGACTGCATCCAAATCAGCTGCTTTACTGAAGACCTGCTGTGTAGTAAACGAAGGGTAACAACGGTTGGTCAGAAGCAACCAGGAGAAGCTGTTTCGGGCAGAAATCTCAGGCAGTGAATGGTGGTGCAGTCAGTTTGGTAGGTTGGAGCCATGTTCTGTGTTAAATGGGAAGCTGAAGTGTAAACATGACTTCAAGAACAGTGAATAAAAAACTTTGTTCCTTTTTGTCTGCAGCATTTCTCACAACAGCATTTCTCACAATAGCTTCACCGGGGGAAGGTTGGAGTCACAATTTCAATTCACCTTCTGGGAAACTGAAACACAGAAACCTGATCAAGGTCAGAGAGGCTGTATTAGACCCATGACTTCAATCCAGATCTGCAGTTGAGCACTAGTAAAAACTTTTATATGAAGTCTGGGTTGCATAAATCTGCATCAGCTGCCTGTTGGTTCCTGGAGTGATTTGTACCATTCGATAGCAATGTGTGTTCCCGTGGCAGGGAGCTCTGGACCTGTGCAGAGCGAAAGGCCAGCCTGCTGTCGTCATGGTGAGCAGGACTCGTGCTTGTGCTCCCTTTGAGCAGAGAGGCAATTTGTGGCAGTATTACCTCTCCTGCTTTTGGAAATGATTTTTCCTTCGGCGTGATTTGAAGCTGAACGTGCGCTCTACAAACTTGAACGTTAACAGCAGCTCTCTTCCCTTCTTTCCCAGTTTTACACCTGCAAGGCATTTGTGATGGTCCAGCCATCAGACTTGACTTGACCCCAGCTGGGATTTTACATCGTTGTGGTGACTGATGTGGTCTCAACCTCACAGCAAAAAGGCTTGGTGCAGAGCTTGGAAGCTCTGGACTCCTGTGTCTGTACTAGTCCCCTGGCACAACAGCCCCATTGCTCCATGACGCAAACAGAGAACCAGCGAGGAGCCCTGCTTGAATTTCTGCACAACATTTGTTCTTCCAGTGAAAGGTTTTAGTTTTGGTTTTGGGGTTTTTTTTTTAGGTTGGAAAGCTGCTCTGCAACCCATGTTAGGGAGCATCACCCCAAATGCTGCTTCTGGGAGAATTGCTGAGAGTTTTTTCATTTAAGGAAATATTACAGAAATGAAATGTGATGTACTTCATAACCTTAAAGGTCATCTTCATTGTTTGGTTTTTTTTTTCCTCACTTCACATCTTTTTTATCTTAATTCCCACCCCACATCTCTGTCAAAGAAGAAAAATATTTACAAAGTAACTGAACAGATCAAAGTATATAGTCCATGTGGATTTAGGGTGTACCGGTACCTGGCTATGGCAGCGTTGGTGTCTCCTGTGAAGATTTTAGTGCCAGTGACAAGTGATGGACAGACTGGAAGCTGGGAACAGTCTACTGCCCTTTGAGACAGTTAATCATCTCAGAGCTCCCTCCCACTGCGGAGCCCTGGCCCAAGGACTGACAGGCAGCATTTTACAAATAGTTAGCCACCTAATTCCCATTGATTTTTGGGTCTCTTGTAGTGTCAGTGTCATCATCTCTGCTGATTTGGGTAGAAGGTAGGGTGCCTGTGTGGTTTTTAAACATCAGTCCCTTACTTCTGATGGTCTGGTCTATAAATTCACAGTTGCCATGATTTAAAAAAGAGCTTGTGATTAAGAGAAGCAAACAAGAAATGCAATCTTTCCTCTGTCAGAAACCTTTGCTAAATTGCTTCTCCCCTTCAGCAAGGAAGTAATCAAGTATTGGCCAGGGCTTATTCTTGTCTGTCTTGATAACACATGGAGTTTCTTTTGTTCGGTGGGTCTCACCCCTCTCCCTCCCGTTGTCTCTGAGGAGGAGCCCCAGGTGTGGTGTCAGCGGGCAGGTGGGTCACTGCCAGAACCAGCAGCCGTGTAGTGCGCTCTGCTGCAGTTTGTGAGTGAAGAGGACAGAGGGAACATCTTTGCTACATAGGAGTAGACAGAATAGTCCGCCAAAAAGAATTGACTAGATGCCACTAGAAGAGGAGATGTCTCCATTGTCTGGTCTGCAGAATCCTGAAGTGGTTCTTTCTAGAAGATTTTTGTATAATTCACTTATTTATAAGCTTTTGCTTTACTGTATTACTTGGAGTGCTGAGTTTCAGTTCCGGTTGCATTGGCAGACCCCTAACAGCTCCCGTGTATGGTTTGTAGGAGTCCACCAAGAAAGGAAGTGAACATGGCTCAGAAACAGAAAATTATTAACCCAGAGTTGACCTACACCAGCGGGAAAGTGCAGTGTTTCAAGGCTGTCTGCCAAACAGTATTCTTAATAAAAGTGTAAGTCTTCAAAACCAGTGTTTGTTCAAAAGGAAGGATCTGTGGATTTGGAAGTTTAGTGGTTATTTTCTGTGAAGCTGGCTTGCACACACAGGCTGGTTGGAACATGGGGCTGGACACATCTGGGGTTTCTGTTATATTTGTTCACTTGGATAAACCTGCTCAGCTTCAAGGAAGACCTACCTCGGTTCTGCCGCAGTGCTCATAGTGCTGCCTGTCCAAGGTCAAGGTGCCTGAAGTGCTCACAGAAGCTACTTTTAGGTTCAGGATACTGGATTAATTTGGGGGGGACAGGTGATGGGAGCGGATATTCCCGAGCAGAGGACATGTCTGCTGGGGAGCGGCTGGGGGAACTGGGGGGGTTCAGTCTGGAGAAGAGGAGGCTGAGGGGAGACCTCCTGGCCCTCGGCAACTCCCTGCCAGGAGGGGGCAGAGAGGGGGGATGAGTCTCTGGAGCCAAGGAGCCAGCGCCAGGCCCCGAGGGAATGGCCTCAAGCTGCCCAGGGCAGGGTCAGGCTGGCTCTGAGGAAGGATTTCTGTGCAGAAGGGGCTGTTGGGCGTTGGAATGGGCTGCCCAGGGCAGGGGGGAGTCCCCGGGATCCCTGGAGGGGTTGAAGAGTCGGGCTGAGCCAGCGCTGAGGGATCTGGGGGAGTTGGGAACGGTCAGGGGGAGGGTCATGGTGGGGCTGGAGGAGCTGCAAGGGCTTTTCCAACCCAGATGGTTCTGGGATTCCCTGTGTGCTTTGTTCCCTACTAGAGACCGGTCTGGAGAGTGGACCAGATCCTTTTCCATCCCTTCCCTCTTCCCTTCTGAGATCAGGGGAGCCAAAGGCTGAGCCCTTACCTTAAGCATTCACCGCACCATGTGGGCTCTACTAAAGCGGGTGTCTTAGAGCAGTTTGAAAAATGGCCTGAATGCAGTTGATGATTCAAGGCATGTAAAAGAATTTTAGAGAAGATCAATTGTGTTTGTTTTCTTGTAAAAATAGCTTAAATGTCCATGCCAATACATTGAACCACTGCTGCGAATTAGACAGTAAAGACAGGACTTGATGCTTGTGTTGTGTGTGTGTGGCTTTAAGGGGATGTAGCTGTAAGACAATAGAGTCCTAATGTAGAGAAATATGAAAAAGCAGGAGAATTCCATTATAAAACTCCATAGTTATTGTTCTGTAATAGCACAGATCAATCACTTTTTTGTATTGAGTTGTTTTATAATAACCTGCTTTTCTCTCTTTGGGCAGCTCTTGCTTTCTTCCCTTTCACACTAAATGAAAATCTGTATTTCCATACCTTGAAGATGGTGTGCAGGTAATAACTATGTTGTTGATCTCCACATAATCAAGAACTTTTGGGAAGGGACTGTAACATCTAAACTGGTTCCTTTTCTCCTGTAAGTTTGCTCTGATGCTCAGAGTAGAGGAGGTGGCATTGATTTGCAAGCTGTGTTGATTGCTTGATTGTTGTGTCTTCAAAGCTTATTTCTTTATTCTTTTTATGGTTGCATAGATTAACGTGAAGTGGCTCACTAGGAAGGACGCTTTGATCACAAAGAGGTGCCAAAGAATTGTGCACTACTTGCGTGGAACCTGTTTAGCTGAAAAGTTTGCAGTCATGGAGAGATTAGTGAAGTTGTCCTGTACTAACACAGGGGATAGGAGGGGAAGAGAGCGAAGAGGGGAGGTTTGCCTGTGGTACTCATAGTTTTCAGGTGCTTGCTGGTTCTGTTGTGACCACATTAATGTTTCTTGGATGTTTTGAAAAGGGGTTTACTTATTAGCCAGATATCTTTGCGTCTGAAAAGTTTTTTGTCTAGTAGGTGTCATGGTTCAACCTGAGATGACAAATAAACCCCACGCAGCCACTCACTGCCTGGTGAGATGGGAGGAAGAATCAGAAGGGTAAAGTGAGAAAACTCATTGAGATAAAGAGAGTTTAATTGGTAAAACAAAAGCCACGCACACAAGCAAAGCAAACCAAGGGATTCATTCCCCACTTCCCATGGGCAGGCGGGCGCTCAGCCAGCTCCAGGACATCAGGGCTCCAACACACGTAACAGGCACTTGGGCAGGCAAACACCATCACTCTGAACGTCCCTCCCTTCCTTCTTCCTCCCCCAGCTCTACAGGCTGAGCATGACGCCGTACGGGCTGGGACATCCCTTGGGTCAGTTGGGGTCAGCTGTCCGGGCTGTGTCCCCTCCCTGCTCCTTGTGCCCCCCCAGCCACTCGCTGGTGGGGTGGGGTGAGGAGCAGAAAAGGCCTTGGCTCTGTGTGAGAGCTGCTCAGGGACAACTAGAACATCCCTGAATGATCAACACTGTTTCCAGGACAAATCCAAAACATGGCCCCACCCTAGCCACCACAAAGAAAATCAACTCCATCCCAGCCAAAACCAGAAGAGTAGGATTTAAAGTGTATTGGGACTGAAGATGCACAAACCCAGGCTGGGTGAGGAGTGGATGGAGAGCAGCCCCCAGGAGATGGACTTGGGGGGGTTGGTGGATGGAAAACTGCCTGTGAGCCAGCAATGTGTGCTGGCAGCCCAGAGAGGCCCCGTGTGCTGGGCTGCACCCAGAGCAGGGTGGGCACAGGGCCAGGGGGGGATTCTCCCCCTCTGCTCCGCTCTGGGAGACCCCCCTGCAGGGCTGGGTCCAGCTCTGGGGCACCAACAGCAGAAGGACACGGACCTGCTCCAGCGGGGCCAGAGGAGCCACGGAGATGCTGGGGGGGCTGGAGCTTTCTGTGAGGACAGGCTGGGAGAGTTGGGAGGTTCAGCTGAAGAGAAGGCTCCGGGGAGACCTTAGAGCGGCCCCCCAGGGCTGAAAGGGGCTGCAGGAACGGGGGGAGGGACTCGTCATCAGGGGGTGTAAGGATAGGATGAGGGGGAACGGGTTTAAACGGACAGAGGGGAGATTTAGATGAGATCTGAGGGAGAAATTGTTCCCTGTGAGGGGGGTGAGGCCCTGGCACAGGCTGCCCAGAGAAGCTGTGGCTGCCCCCTCCCTGGCAGGGTTCAAGGCCAGGTTGGACGGGGCTTTGGGCAGCCTGGGCTGGGGAAAGGTGGCCCTGCCCGGGGCAGGGGGGTTTAAGGTCCCTTTCAACCCAAACCATCCTGTGATTCTATGATAAAAAACATTCAGATAGATACAACTCTGAAAGAATTAGGTAATGTGTTATGGTGCTCTGAAGTGACAGTTGTAAGAAATCTTCCCTTTTAAAAGTACTCTTACTAGAGATAGAGTTTTCCTTACACTGTTTAAAAAAAAAAAAAAAAATTACTATGATTTTAAAAGGTGCAAGGAGTTTCTTATAACATGCTGAGCTACCTCTTCTCTAATGTCTTCATGTCCTTCAAGGAACAGATCAAGAGAGGGAGTGGTGTGTGATTTTCTTCAAATATGATGTTGAGGAGTAAAAACTTTAATACAAATCTCGGACCTTTCTGGAGAAAATTGTTTCAATTTAAAAAAGCCCAACAAAACAAAACCAAAAACCCTAGGAAAAGGAAATATGAAGACCATTATTGTCTCTTTTTTTGTGTGTGTGTGGGTTTTTTTGTGTGGTTTTTGTTTGGTGGTTGGTTTGGGGTTTTTTAATTTGGTGATAGAGATATCTTGATATATGAGGAAATCGCAGGGTAAGTCTCACTATGATCATTTTTTACAAATTAGGATCAAGCTTTTTCTGTAGATATTGCAGTCCCTGCTTATAGAAGTAACCAGAATTTCATTCATTGCACAATTACCCATCAGGAAACTCCTTGAAGTGTGTTCCAAGGTTTTGTCTTTAAATGAGGATCTGTGATTTGTGTGATGGGGTGTATCTAACTTCAGGTTTGCCTTCAGTATTGTTTCAGTACACAAAATAGGTATAGGCATACCAATAAGTTGTTTAATTAATACGCAGAGCTTTCCGAGAATTCTGAAAAATGTGAATATTTCACATTTCTATCGCGTGTTTCAGTATGTTTTCCTCATGATGTAAATAAAGTCCAGATATACCTCAAATTGTGGTGCCAGCTCTGAGCTCCGGTTACTTCCTAGCAGAAGAAACTCCCGTTTTTCTGGGGAGATCACTTCTGGGACAAGAAATCATGTCATCGTTCTTCTGAGAGCTGCTCTCTATGGAGATAACAGGATGTTAGCATCAAACCCAGAATATCCATGATGAATACTTCAGTTTTTAAAATACTGAGCAGAATGGAAAAGTTGAAGCAGTCTTAATGTTTGTTCAGACTTTTAAACACATGCAGAGATTCGAGCTTTCTTGGTAATCTAATGCCTTTTCATATTGAAGCATGACATTTTAGGCTCCATTTCAGAAACATTCAGCTGCGTTACTAATGGACCTGTCTCTGACTCCCACTTGCAGCAGTATTCAGGTGGGCACACTTCATTGCCAGCACAGCATGAGGATATCATTAACTGTTTGACAAATTTCACTTCACCTCAAAGTTTTTCTTCTTTTTCTTTGTTGGTCTCATAATTTATTACTAGAGAGATTAAATCATCAAGCTGGTGCTCTTAAGAAAGAATTACTTCAACAATAGTACTTTCACAGAATCCCAGAGTCATTCAGGCTGGAAAAGCCCCTCGGGATCATCGAGTCCAACCCTCAGCCCGACTCTACAAAGTTCTCCCCTACCCCACATCCCCCACAGCTCATCCCAACGGCCCTGAACCCCCCCAGGGATGGGGACTCCCCCCTCCCTGGGCAGCCTGTTCCACTCTCGCACCACTCTTGCTGGGAAACATTTTCTCCTCCTGCCCAGCCTGACCCTCCCCTGGGGCAGTTTCCAGCCGTTCCCTCTTGTCCTGTCCCTGATCCCCTGGGAGCAGAGCCCAGCCCCAGCCTCTCTGCAATGTCCTGTCAGGAGCTGCAGAGAGGGATGAGGGCTCCCCTCAGCCTCCTCCTCCTCACCCTGAACACTCCCAGCTCCTTCCCTGGCTCCTCACAGGATTGATTCTCCAGCCCTTCCCCAGCCTCGTTGCCCTCCTCTGCCCTCGCTCCAGCCCCTCCAGATCTCTCTGGGATTGAGGTGCCCAAACCTGGACACAACCCTCCAGGTGTGGCCTCACCAGTGCCGAGCACAGGGGACTGTCACCTCCCTGCTCCTGCTGGTCACGCTATTTCTCACACAAGCCAGGACGCCGTTGGCTTTCTTGGCCACCCTTTTCGGTTGCCTGTGAAAATTAATGTTATTTTCCTAGTGCCTATGAAATGTGGATATTACGGTTTCTTGCCTTACACTAAAAAAACCCCAACCCCCCAAAAACCCCAAACTCTGCAACCTAAGTGAAGGATTTCTGTAGTGTGGCATTGCTGAAGCAATGGTGTGTACTCGGTCCAGATGGTTATTGGAATGCTGTGTACAACCTGATGTTGTACGGGGGTGAGCATGGATGGTTAGTCCCGTAGTAAGTGCTTACCGTGAGCTGTCATGGCAATAAACTTGAGCACTTACATAGAGTTGAAACTCTTCAGTGCTCACTCGGAATTAGGTTTTACAGCTCTTTTTTTCCTAATGAGGCAGATAGTTTTCTTCTCGCGGAGTCTGCTCGTCCGGGACACCCAGCCGTAGAGTGTTTGCGTGCTTTGTTGTTGGAGAGACAATGCAAACTGCCTCTCTGATAATCATTTTGGTAAGGAGTAAAAAACAACAAACCACCGGGCATTTTGTCCGCTCTTCCTTCACCTGCTACCTGCTTTCTGTGGGTCTGCCTGGTGTTGATTTCTTTGGATGCCTGATCGTTCACCTCCCTGCAAGAGATGCTCTTGGGAGGAGTCAATCAGAACGAGGTGTATTTTTATGTAGATACATGTAGGTTTAAGAATAGTGGATTTTTGTGGAGATGCCTGTTGGCTCTCCAGCACAGAGTGTTTCCTGGAGTGGAGGTATCATGTTGGCTGATCTATGTAGATGCCCATTTCAGACCTTGATGTCATCAGGGGGAATTTCCACCGGAGATTTGCACTCAGATATACAGGCAAAGGCATCATAAGTTTTCCCTTGCTTCCATTTGGGCTTCTTCCACATATAACAAAACTTTGGTGTTGGAAATGGTGGTAAATGGCAGGATCTGTATGTGCTGGGGCTGTACAGGACCGGAGCTGTGCTGATGTCTGGCTGTGGCAACGTGATTCTGGGTCCGTCAAGGTACGGTGGCGGGTCAGGGGAGGTGACGGTAAGAGGTGCAGCGCAGGCTGCCGGCATTAGCAAGTTGTTGGTATGTACAAGGCATCGTCAGGAACAAGATTTACATCTCAGTGTATTTCTCAAGGTAAAATATTTAAATACAAACAAAATTACTTTTCCCCGTAGCTTACACCTACATGCAGAGCATTCGTTATTATTAATTGAAAGCTAAGAGGGGAGAAGATGTAAAAGCTTATTTTTCTCTTGGTGCCAGTGTTCTGTTTTTCTCAAATCTCGCATAATATGGCCAAGCAGATAAGACAGATTGTTTTATTCCTTGCTATGGAGTTCATCCCAGTCAATAATATTGATTAGTGCAGGGTGACTTGTTGTAACAAGAATAACACTCCTTTCTTAATTTGAGTCTGTATTTCCTAGTTCATGCCTCAGTAGTTCATGCTTGGATGAATTCTTCAATAAGTCAGTTACGATACAGACCCCACTGGAAATTACAGGGTCTGACATTAATAGGGGAAATGAATAATTTTCTTTTCCTAGAAGTTGTGCCTCTTTTTTGCACGATTAAACTGTCACATTGTGCAAGTTAACTTTTTAAAAGGCAAAATGAAATCCGTGCACTTTTTTTTTTTTTTTTAATTTTTTTTTTAAGAGCTACTTCTTTCTAATTACAACCAGTAAAGCTTTATGAACTCTGTTCTCAGCTGCTTTTTCGCACTTCCTGAGGCCTTCTGTTAGTGTAGGATTTATCGCGAAGCTTCGAGTCCTAATGGGGCATTGGGGGAGCTGAGTCAGCTTATGGAAATAATGCGACTGCTGATATCCAGAGGATGTACGTGTGGATTTCCCGCTCCACAGGGAATTTAACATTGTCCTTTTTTTTCTGGGGCACCGAAACAGCATCTTTGAATCTATACCAGTGCTGTGAATTTTTGTACAAAACGCTTCAGACCTGGAAGGACCATTTAGGGTGTGGAAGGTCTGGCACCGGTGACCTGCTGGGTCCTTGGACGTTGCTGTGAGGTTAACAGGAAGGTCAATTA